CACGGCGACAACGACGACGGAAACGACCACGACGCCAAAGAGGACGACGACGACGAACACGAAGAAAGACAGAGGACGACGTAGGCGACGACGACGACGACAACGACGCGGAAGGACGACGACGACGACGACGACGCAAGAGCGCGCGCGCACGCTTTTGTTGAAAATCCGTGTTGCGAAACCTCGGGCTTTTGTAGGTTTTTTGGACGCGCGATTTCGAAATCCTTCCGAAACCGCTGGGTTTTGAAGGATTTCGGCGTACGCGCGCGACCACGCGCGCGTCTGCACTTCGTCCCATTTTTTGCAGAGGATTCTCGCGAGGCACACGCGCAAGGGCGTTCGACTGATTTCGACATGCGCGCGCGAAGCCCGTTTGGTAGCATGTTGTGAAAATCTTGAAAAACCTATGGTTTTCTTAAGATTTCGCAAGAGCTCGCACGGAAGCTTTTTTAGCAAATCAGTGTTGCGAAACCATGTGTTGTTGTATGTTTTTGTGGAACTCGATTGCGAGATCCTTCCGGCACCGAAGGTTTTTGAAGGATTTCGGCATGCGCGCGCGACGACGCGCGCGTGTGCACTTCGTCTCATCTGTTGCAAGGGATTCGTGAAAAAGTGCTACGTTAGAACAAAAAATGTCACCGCATACTGTTTTTTACAAGGGACCCTCAGGGGGGGGAACCGGCCTGCCTGGGATGGTACGATTTTATATTTAGGATGGACGAGTGTGCTGAGTATATATATATGTGAAATTATACTATCCCAGGGGGAAGCGTTAAGTCCCGGGGGGGGTAGAGTCCTTTTTAGAAAGGAGAATATAATAGGTTGTGCAATATATGTTGTGCAGTCTACGTGTTGCAATTTATGTGGTGCAACCAACGTTGTGCAATCTAGGTTGTGAAGTCTATGTCGTGCAATCTACGCGGTGCAATCCTACGGCGGCGACGGGGGCGACCAGAGGGCGGCGGGCCAGCGACTGCGACAACATAGCCGCCAGACCGCCACACCAGCCCAGACGACGGGCGGCGACGAGGCGGCGACGGGTCGGCGACGGCGGCAACATAGCAGCCAGAACTGCACACCTGCCCATTTCCTCTTGTGTAAATATATACACATATATATATATACAAACAGATATCCCCTATATATATATATGTGAATATATTGAAAAATGGTTGGAGGTCCCCTAGTATAAACACATACTGTAAAACCGTACAATACACGACGACGCAAACTGACGTGACATGCTGCGGTACACGAATCCCTATGATGATAGAATACGATACACATGGTAGACTATAGTATACGATGGTGCATTGTGATGTTCAAACTGTTGCTGGCACCATGAAGTACGATGTACCCCACCACAATACAACATAATACGCGAGCACACCACATTCATGATAGAAAACCTTGCAATGTAATATTCCATAACATGGTACGGCAAAATATGATACAATATGATGGGGCGTAGCACGCACATAGTGATGTAGTTTGGTAAATGCTGCGCGTTGTAATGCAGCATAACATTTCGTATAGTGCAATGTAGCATGGTGGGGGACATGATGTTACAAAGTGGCGCAGTGGTATACACTTGCCCGTGTAAAGTACCTTGCGAGGACGACCTCATCATTTGGTCGATACGATTACGGAGCCGGACTTGCTGATGGGGGTGACGTTCGTGATGTCCGCATGGTGACATGAGCGCGCTCGAAACAGCATCAGGGACCGAGCGGACACAACTCTTGGCAATTGAAATGGTGTGAGAATCCTACGCCCCTGCCGCAATTTCTGGGTTTGCGACGGCTGAAACCAAACCAGAAGACTCGCCCCCCATTTCATGATTCTGGTGACAGGAACCGTTGATTAAAATCAAATCAAAACATAGTCGTGAGTTTCATGTCTAGGAAAAAATTCGAACCAGAACACCCTAGTGATTCTCATGTCTGGATCTGGAAAGACTGAAGACGAGCCAGTACACACTAGTAAATCTCATTTCGGGGCAAACGGCTCCAGAAAGCCAGAGTTAGCCTCATTCCTATATCTCAGCAGGCTGAAATTGAGCCAGAACACAATCGTGAGAGTTCCTTCTGGACCGAATCGAGCCAGGATACCAGAGTGAGTCTCATTTCTGGATCTGCGAGGGCTGAAACCGAGCCAGGATACTCAGCACCCCCTGTTGAAAATTCGATTGAAACAAATCTCTGGCGTGAAATCAAGCCAGAACACGTAGTGAATCTCATGTCTGGACCAGATCGAGCCAGAACAATATAGTGAGTCTCATTTCTGAATCTGGGAGGGCTGAAGTTGAGCCAGAACACCATACTGGGCGTCACTTCTGGACCAGATCGGGCCAAAACACAAAATTGAGTCTAATTTCTAAATCTGCGAGGGCTGAACTCGAGCCACCACACCATAGTGAGCCGATTCCGAACAGCCGCCAGGCAAGTGAGACGCCTTCCCCGACTTCCCCTTGTGGAGATCCCAATAAAGGAAATCAAAGCAGAACAATATTGTGAGTTTAATTTCTGGACTCAACGGAGCCAGAACACCATAGTGAGTCTCATTTCTGTATCTCGGCGGGCTGAAATTGAGCCAGAACACCATATTGAGCGTCACGGTTGTGCCAAATCGAGCCAGAACACCACAGTAAGTCTAATTTCCCAAATCGAGCAAGAACACCATGGAGAGCCTCATCCTCGGCAGCGCCCCTGGCAGCACGCTGGGCCTGGGAGACGCCCCACCCCTGGCCCCCCGTGAGGAAATTCTGGTGAGAGGAAATATTCGAGCACTATTAGAACCCTCTAGCGAAACGCTATCTGGAAAATATAATACAGCACAAGTCGTAGAATTGTATATAATATGGCAATACGTCATGGCACAAATAACCAAAAAGTCAGATGGATAAAGGATGCACAAACATACAAACATACATCTGCATGCGCGTATACATGTGTATCCGAAACTGTGCCTGCACGGAGTGGGCGTGTTGGAATGTTCGTACGTTGTCTGGGAGGTTGTTTATTTGTTCTAGGGCCGCCCCCCCATACGAGCGCGCATCGTTATGAGATCATCCCCCTGAAATTGCTCTGGGGCGGGTTGTTCTTCCTGCAGACGGCCAGGATGGCCTCCAAGACGGCTTCAAAGAGAGCCAAGATGACACCAAGACGGCCGAAAATGACCCAAGACCCATCAAGACGCCTCCAAGACGGCCTCAAGACAGCCGAAGAGGCCTCCGAAACGGCCTAAGAGGGCTCCAATAGGCTATTCAGGAGAGCCCGAGGAGGCGACAGAGTATTGATTTCCACACCTTGTTTCAAGGATTTTGAAACTCTCGCTTGTTTGGCTCTGCGACCGCCCAAGATACCTCCAAGATAGCTCCAAGACCGCCCAATAGGCCCCCAAGAGGGCCGCAGGTCGGCCCAAGAGGCCCCAGGAGAACCTCGGAAGGCCCCCAAGTGGCCCCCGAGAGGCCCCCAAGAGGCTCCCAAGAGGCCCCAGGGAGGCCCCAAGAGGCCCCCAAGAGGCCCCCAAGACGTGAGAACCTGGCAACCTTGCAATGCCGGGAACCCCAGGCCTGAATTCGGAACCTGGGAACCCAGCTGCCCACCGAAATCGGACTGGAACGTAGAAGCGGGAACCCGGGAACCCGGCCGCCCACCGAAATCGGCGGGGAACTTTCGCCAAATCCTACACCTTCAATGTAAGCACTGATTGGGAAAGTATTGCATTATGCTGGCTGGGCTTACCCGAGCCTGCCGACAGGGAGCGGGGCATCGCTGGACAACTGAGACGACCATGGCTTTGCAGAGTTAAGCTCCACCCAAGTCACATAAGCTAACGTTGGTTTCATTTGCCTTGTGTCTTATCGGAACGCCAAGGCTTAGCACAGCTGAGGCTCGACTCCCCTTGGTATTCGTCCCCTTGTCGGTTCCATGGTGCTCTGTGCATTCTTACTTCGAGTTTCCGATTGAAAGTATTAGCGCGAGATCTAGGGGGGCATCTATTCGGGCACGAACCCCAGAAAGATGCGGACGTCTGCCCAGGTGAACATCTGCGACGCAGCGCGGTGTGCATCGATAGGCGTTGCCTGCGAGAGCCATGCTTGTGTCGCACCTTGTCCCATCTCATTGCTCCTGCACGCCCACATTCCCGGAGTGCTCCTGCACACCCACATTCCCGGTGGGTTACCCTGCGCCCTCGCTCTGGTGCTCCTGCAGCTAGTTCCTCCCCCCGCTTCATCGCCATCGCTCTGCCCCCCCTGCCTGGTGTTCCACCCACCCATCCTCCTGCAGCGCGACAGGATCACAGGGATGCGCGACATGGAGGCAAGGACCTTGGACGCCCAAGTTGAACCCGCTGGAGCGAGAATGGCCAGCGATAGTTCATGCGTAATGATGGGCCGAAGATACAAGGACGGAAGGGCGCCTCGGGAAACCTGCGCATCCTCATGATCCTGTCTGACTGCCCGCCTTCGCTCCCGTGGCCTCTGCGCCCCCTGCTGGTTCCTCCCCCGACGGTGCTGGAGCAGTCAGCAGGACTGGGCAACTACCCGCATCGACAGCTCAAGCTCGGCCCTGGATAACCCTCTGGCCCTGAGAGCCGAGGTTGCAAAACAAGTGCAACATCGCGAGAGATCACAACTGGAGCCCCAAACCAAGTTGTCCTGCCGCACTTCTCGAGCTGGGTCGACCCGTGAGGGCCCCGGGCCCAAAAAACCCCGGCGAAAACGGCCGGCGTGAAAGAAAAGCGCAGCGCCCAGAGCTCGGGGAGTCGGCAGGACACGAACCCAGAGATCGGACGCCCTCGTTTCTCCAACACGGGCCCCCCCGGAGTCCCGACCCCTCCCCCGGAGCCGGTGCTTCGTCCCCAGTCGTTTCCAGACAGTCCCGGGGCCAGGCGAGGGCCCCCCGAGGCCGAAAGCAGCCCAAAACGCGCTGGATGTCTGGGAGCCTCTCGGAGCCCCTGCGCTCTGCGGAGCGGGCCCCCCCGCGGCGTGGGAC